CTTCCTCTGCCCCTTAGTGTTCCAGATTATCTTATCTTTCCCCGTAGGTATTAGCTTATGATCCACTCTCCACCCTGTCTCCAAGTTTTCCTACTGCATGTCTCCCTGTCTCTCCCTCCCCGTGTATATATAGATTTAATTCAGGAATCCCAAAGTCAGGAATAATATATTCTACAGAGTAGCAAGAAAACTGATATAATGCTGGAGCTGTTGCTCTTCTTGAAGAATGTGACATACAGTTTACAGTGAATGAATTTTAAAAAATGAAAGAAGGAAATGTATGGCTATCATTCTGAGATGTTGAAAAGTCACATCCATTAGCATATGAAAGATATCATTTTTAATACATAAAAAGTAATACTTGGTAAACAAGCTCATTAATATCACTGACTTTAAAACATGATTGCTGGCAGTTCCCTTAAATGTTAGTCTGTTTGTAAATGACATTTTTCATTTATTCTTTACTGATTTTTCCACTGAGCAGCCTATTTATACTTGCAAATTTTTTATTTTTAAAAATGCTCTTATCTTCCCAAATGTTACTCTCAAGTTTCTTTCCAGATTCGCATTTCTCAGGACCTCGTCTCCTCCCTGGTTTGAGAATTACCAGGCTTCTCCTTGGTCTACTTTTCTCAGCCAGTTTCTCACAGCTGGTGGGCAGACTTAGCAACAGCCCCTACCGATTTGCATTTTTCTCCAATATGTGGAGTCCTTGCCATTGAGCTGCATAACTTTATGATTTTATTGGCTGAGCAAGAAGGCATTAGTGTTCATTAACATGCTAATATAATCCTTTTACGGGACAAAATGGAGATAATCGCTGCAGCCTAGAAGTGCACCAGACTTTTAAAACACAGCGTCAGCGACACACAGGGCGTGCGCCCGGGGCTGCTGGGCTGTGGTGCCAGCACACAACAGGGGGGCAGCATGCCCAGCGCCCGCTGCTCCGAAGTCAGCCTGGGGACTTAGCTGTTAGGCCAAAGGGAACCTTATATTTGGGTCCTGGGGTTTGGAAACAGTGTTTCTGTTACGATTGCCACTCATTAACTGTGTAAATTTGTGCCTGGGGAATCTTTCAAAAACACAAATCTGATTCAATTATTCCTCTCCCAAAGCCTTTTCTGTTCCATAAAGGATGAGGTCCGCATTTTCTAATGTGCTCACAAGGGTTTCGTGACCCCGTCCTTTCCACACCTGTGTCTCCGGCCGCTCTGTGCCTCCGTTTCTTTAGCTAGAAGTAACTGCGGGTGAGTTAGATGGTTTCTAAAACTCCTTTGAGGTCTGAAAGTCTGTGATTCTGAACAATTACAAAGCCTCCGCTTGCAGATAGGATAAAAAGGAATTTATAAATTTACAAATTCCTGTTTCTAAAATAGGGCAGCTTGAATTATCCCAGAGCAAGAGAACTTGTTCAAGTGGCAGACACACGGTCTGCTTCCGCTTCTTTGATCTGGTGAAGGATGAGCGTGAGCTGCAAAATCCTGCAGAATTGTGTTCTCCCCATTAGAACTGTGAGGTGTGGTGGCTGGTGATGCCTTAGAGACCTCCAGCCCTTGTTTTTATAGATGATGAAATTAAGGTTCAGAGAGAGGAGAAGGTTCAGAGGCTCTGGGAAGTAGGCCGGACGCGTCATAGCTCTTGGTCATTAATCCAGCATGTGATCCACGTTGTTCAAGTTCCTAAAAGACTTCACATTAAATAAGCTTCTTGTTTCTGCTTTATGACACGACATTGTGTTTTCTCAGATGACGTGATAGCTTAAAAGGGGAACATGTACAAAAGAAAACTGGGTGGGCTGATGACCGCCAGCAGTCTGCGATGTAGACCGAGCTACAGGCAGCCGGTAGAGACAGTATTTAGAAGGCCAACTTACTTTTCACAAAGCTTCCTTATTTGTCTTATAAACCAGATTGTCTAATAACTGTGGCTGCACATAAGGTCTCATGAACAGAAATCACCCTAATTCACCATCTCTTCTCCCTGTTTCTTGCCAGAGGGCACTAGCCCACTCAGAGTTCCTATTCCTTAGGTGTTTTTGGGAGGGCCTGGGTGCACCTGCCGGCTTGGGAAGCTCTGCCTGCCGGGGCGGCCGCCTTCCCCACGCCGCTGTTTGGAGGGAGGCGCGTTCCAGTCATCGATGCCCCAGCTGCGCTCCGTCGTGGTCTGGGCATTGAAGCTATTTCCTGGACCACCAGGAGCGACGGTCTCTCCCTGGGAACCACCCTCCTGTCGAGGAGATGGCACAGCGCAGGTGGCCACTCTACCCTCCCACAGCCAGGATGTTTCTGTCCCCTTGTGTTTGTTACCGTGGCTTTCTTGTCCTGAAAGGCAGGATCTCATGGGCTTGTGAGCGTGGGCCGCGTCGCTGCCATCCCTCCGGCTTGGGAGCTTATGCCTGGGTGCCCTGCGGCTGCCTTCAGTAACTTCTGCTTCTCCACGGCACCTGCTCAGGGGCGCAGGGCTCAAGTCCAGGGATCCCGTGTGATCCCTGCTCTGATCTCAAGACCTTGCATGCAAATGAGTTTTCATCGTAGCCCTCAGGGCATTTAGAGTTCGATTTCCGGCTCAGCATTTAGCAGTAGCATGGTGTCACGAGAAGGTGTTAGACTAGAAGTCAGAGATGCTGAGAGCCCCTCTTAGGTCTTCCTTGAACGAGCCTTGAAGCATTTATTCATTCTTTCTGTAGCACTTATTGACCCTGTTGGGAAAATGGAAGTTTCTGTGGCCTGAATCCTCACCTGACGCTAACCTACCTGATGATGTAACTGGCCTGCTGCTGGGCTGCTGCTCCTGCACCCGTAGGCAGTGAGCTGCTGCTGACTGAGTCCCTGTGTAAAGGGCCCTGCCCAGTGCTCTGGGCGGAGGCAGACATGAAGGATGATGGCAGACCTGCAGACTGCGGGGTGCAGCGTGATTCCAGTGCTCAAACTACCACCAGGGGAAAAAAGTCGGGTATAAACCCTTTTACCCCAAGAAGGCTCCCTCATCATTCCTTGGTCTCACCGAATCCATAGTGAACCTGCCCGGGGCTGAGACCCTCAGGCAAGACAGACCCCATAGTGTCCTGGACATAGTACAAGGTATTGTAGAACAAAAATGAGTTGTATGCTCAGTGATTCTCAACCCTGGCTGTGCGTCAGACCAGTTCATCTAACCATGGTGTGCAGGCCAGGTCCGATTCACCACCTGTCTGTTCTTGTCAATAAAGTTTTATTGGAACATGGAAAGGCTACTTCAGTACTTACTGTGTGGCTCCCCTGTTAGAACAACAGGGTCAAAGTTGCAGCAGAGATGCCGTGACCCCCAAAGCCCAAAATGTTCATTACTTGGCTCTTCATTGCGGTGTTGCTGATCCCTGCATTGGACTCAGCATGGAGAAAATTGAACAAAAAATCGTTGTCCGTGTCCCATCACAGACAATAAAATCAGAATTGCAGCGGGGGGTTGTGAGTTGTCCCAAGAACCAATGTTTTGAAAATATCCCGGTCAAATAAAATGTGCAGCCAGAGTTAAGAAACATGAATAGATGATCGCTACTCTTGAAGAGCATACATGGCTTACTGGGGAGAAGCTTACAAAAATTAGTAAAGCTACGGTGGTGACTCTACAGTGGAAACATTGCAGAGTTCCTGGGGAACAGGTAGTGCTTCACTGGGGGTTTTCACAGAGAGACACTCACACAGACTGTTGAGGCACGAACCACAGGTAGACAAGACCCCCTGGGGTGGTCATGGGGAGAGGAAGCATATGCGAAGGCACGAGGTGTAGGGGACACAGTGCCCCCCAAGGAAGGACCAGGAGCTCGTGTGTCCACAGCACATTGAGGGAAGAGCAGTGAGGTCGTACAGTAGAAAGCCCAGAAAATGGGGCCAAAGTGGGGGGTGTGGGGATTGTGTGCACAGAGGTTTGTAATTTATCGAGGTGACTTTCAGTTCAAAGTTGAATGGAAAATTGAGTCTTTCTAGGCCAGCTTTTCCACTGTAAAATAAGTAGCCAGCTCAGAAGATTGCCAAGAGCCCTGTAGCCATGAAACACAGGTTCCTGAGGTCATGTCACTTCCTTCCTTTGACCCTCTTGGGACTGCGGACGGGGCTGTGGTTTTATGAACCACGTGACTTACATAGCGGTGGGTCGCCTGGCTATCTCCTGCGATTGATCCTTTTCTCGGGCAAATACAAATGAGGACAGTGCTACCGTGAGGGGTCTCCACAGGTATTTGAGAAGGTGGACTTCTCTCCTGCTCAGTGCACTGAGGTCCTTAATAAACAGTGTTACGTAATGAATAGACACCTGTAACATACTTTACCTTCCGTGCAGAGAGGAGCTGTAAAATGGGGACAACTATTGTCAAAATTCATACTTTCCATTTCTAGTGCCTATTATGGCTTAGAATTTGTAAGTCTTTATGCTTAAAACTTGGCATGTGAATTACTATGGAAATTCTTCAATACAATCTTATCACTTCACAGCTTCTCATTAATACCAGATCTGTCTGGGCCAGCTCAGTTTGTATCTCTAATAAGCTACATGTCATTGCTTTCATATCTTTAAGTGAAGTTATTCAAGTTCTGGAGTATATTGAATATTTTATCTACCTCTTACAGGGTCTCCCAAAGCATACAGAATATTCAGTGAATCAAAAAATAATACATTGTTGGCTCAGTGATTGAACTTTCCAAGGCTCCGAGGGAGCTCAGCCACACTTTCTGATCGATTCATCCAGCACACGTAGGCAGGGCACTGGCAGTTTCCCAGTATCCTTAGAATGATGCAAATCGGAATACACAGACATCTGGGAAACACTGGCAGGAGCTGTTGGAAAAGAACTTTCATGGTTTCTGTCACTCGAACATCAGACATTCCTATAAAGGATGGGCTTTGGGTAATTTTAAAATGCTTTTTAATCAGTCTATTGGCCTGTTCCCACAGAGGAAAATTACAGAGAAACTCTAGAATATTGGCCACTCTGTTGACCTCCGTGCCCCATGTTTCCTTCGCAGACATCGACGAGTGCGCTGAAGGGCGCCATTACTGCCGCGAGAACACGATGTGCGTCAACACCCCGGGGTCCTTCATGTGCGTCTGCAAAACCGGGTACATCAGGATCGACGACTATTCGTGTACAGGTAAACAATGGCTGTTGGGGAAATGAGGCCTCCCTGTGCTTAGATGTGCTTCTAAGTTTCATTCTGGTTATTGAGAGAAGTATGCCATAAATACTGCCTTACAACTCAACAAATCATAAGCAAAAGTTTATCTCCATGACTGGGTGGTTAATTCTGCGTCTGTTCTAAAGAAAGGGCGCTCGTCGCTCTGGTGAAGTCCTATGCTCCCTGTCAGGACAGGAGAGAAAAACTGAAGAGCCAAATCCTCAAAACTTGTATGAATTCTATGGTAAATCTGAATAACATCCCTAATAATATTTCCTGTATATGACAGTGGATTTTGGGCACAGGAATAATGACATAGGTAAGGAGATGGTTTTCAGAAGCAGCTTCCGGAGTGCTGGGACTCGGGATATGCCGGAGAACACTGAGCTCCCTCCCGCCGCTGAGAAGCCAGCTGAGGGGCTCCCTCCTTCGCTCATGTGTGTTTGTTGAGGCCACAGGCCCCGCGGGGCCGCCCTGAGCCTGCAAAGGTGCACCCTCAGTGTCAGTAATGCCTGCGCTCGGTCCTGGGGTTAGACGGCCTGTTCCCCTCGTGTTCTGCACGGTCCTACCTGTAGAGCGTGAGAGATGTTGGTGCTGGAATAGCTTGAGGACTGAGGAAATGTGGATGTGAAATAAGACATTTCTTTGGGTTCCTTTTTTTAAATAGAAGAAACATAAAAACACCACATTGGGAGCGTGAGTGGGCTTTATTTTGTAGTCCACGGTCAGGTGATCTCTGGTAGACACTCTGTTAGACTCCAAAGGGCCAGCACATATTCCACATTCCTATAAAGAAAATGTAAGTGTAAATTCTCCCTCTTTGACTCTCTCCATCCCCACTTCAACATCAGCACGAGTACAAAAGGCTGACAAAGGAATTGTGCCTCCTCAGGGGGTTCGCCCATGGCTGGTGACCGCGAGGCTCCCTGGAAGATCGGGGTAGGACTCACTTTCTCTGACAAAGGTTGGGATTTCTTTGAATTTTACAAGCAAAACCCTAGGTATTTGCAGCAGTAGTCCTTCGGATAGATGCCAGGGCGCCTGCAGAGCCGCTGCCCGGGTCTGTGGCTGAGCTCTTGCAGCTCCCACGCCCCTCTTTCCTGTTGAAGAGGCCCTGCCATGTCGCCCTCGTCCTGACGCTCTCCGCACGGCACCCGGCAGACCCTGAAGCTGACTTACCCACCCAAGAACCAATCCTGGATGCTCTCATTTAAAATAGAATCCTAGACAATACCTGCTACTTTATAGCCAAGAGCTTTGATCAGTCAAGGAAGCCTCTTCTGCTTTTATAACCCTGTAGCTCCAGCTTGGAAATTGCATATGCCACAGAGGAATTACCTTCCACGGTCGGTGGAATTGCACTTTTTCTTTCACTTTTAGATAAGTGGTATCTTGGGTTGTATCTTCCCCATGATCATATAGTTTTGGAAGTGGAAGAATTCTTAAAGATAATATAGTCCAGTCTCCTAACTTTTACTAATGGGGAAACAGGTTCTGAGAGGTTTGTTGCCTTTTACTCTGATGATGCGGTTAGTGGGAGGCAGAAGGGTGCCAGAAGATAAGCCTCCTCATCCTTAGTTCCTGTATTATTTACTCTTCATTTAATTTGCAAACATACAAAAATAAGTGAGAGGGAAAGCCTCCTGTTTTATGGAGAAATGTATCATTCAATTTATAATATTCAGTAATTAAACTGCCTTTCTTATAGGTTGTTGCACTTGATTAGCTTTAACTCTAAGAGCAACTGTTTCCCCTACAGACCTTGTAGTGATACCGTGACATCAGAAGCCAGGAGAAGGAAGATAAATCGCCGTTTCTGGGGCCTCTGACTCCCTCGTAGTCACACTGGTGACTCAGTTGCACCGTTTGCGTGGGTGAAGCAGCCGTTTATGCCCCTCTAAACTCATAAACGCTCTCCCAGTGAGGGTGTTTCTCTCCTAGCTAGTGCTTGGCAGTCTCTCTCCTCGCATCCTTTCCTGTTCTGTTGGAGGGAGGCATGGGTGTCCCTGCAAGGAAAGAGAAGAAAGGGCGGCGGGCGGGCAGGCAGGAGGCAGGAAGGAGTGGAGGGAGGCCCGGAGAGAAGGGACAGGGCAAAGGGGGAGGGAGGGGAAGACACGAAGGGTGTGGGTCCTGTGAGCCAAGGCATCGGCAGCCCGTTCGTCCCTGTTTCTGATTGCAGCAATGACCTACTTTTTATGCATAACAGAGTTTGTTGATTATTTATCTGGACTAATGGCTTTCTTGATTTATTCATGTAAGTAATAAAGTGGGTCTTACCAGGCATCTCTTCTTGAAACTGGTCCTGTGCAATAATCAAAAAATAAAATATCTCTAGAAACAAAGATAGAGTTAAGAATTTTAGAATTATGAAAGGATGAAGATATTATGAGAGAAAAGACCTTCCTTTCAGACCCCCTGAGATGTCTCTCTGCTCTGACTATCACAGTTAGAGCAGCAGAGTTCTGATTCTCTGGTGTGGAGCTCGGGACCGTCCCAGCGCTGTGCTGCCGGTCAGAGTGGGAACAGGTGCCGGAGTGGGAGGGGAGGCCGGCACAGTGGGGAGAAGGCCTCGGCCAGCTGGAGAGGGAAGCGGGTCCCTAGGCTGCCCGGTGGGGCTGCGTCGCCTTCCCACCCGGGGGCTGCCTGGCAGGGTCTGACGCCCCGTTGTCTGTCACCGCTGTGGGGAGAAAGGCCGCTAGTGGCATCAGGCAGGCAGAGCTGGGGCTGCCGCCGAGCATCCTGGAGCCGCATTATTGGACTAGCTGTCCTCTTAAAGGAATTCTTATTTTCTGGGACCCTTCCAGTTGGGAGCTTTTCTCTGCTTACTTCCCAACCAAGTTTGACCTTCGTCCCACACAGGCCATCGGTAAGAGGCAGCCCCACCACAAAGGGCTCTGCCCCAGGGTGTCAGTAGCTGGGAGCTCTGTGTGGGGGTCCCCTGGGCAAAACTGCACGATGCCCACTTTCTTCCGAACTTTCCCTTTGCTCTTCAGCTCTCCTGCAGGCCCCATACAGTGAGGCCTTCTCCCACTTCTTATGGTGCCTGATGTCCTCTTTTTGGACTTTGGCCACAGAAAGGACCTCGTCTCAGGGAGGCCCACTCTCCCCCACGCTCCCCCCTCTCCTTTCTCTTACTGAGCATCTGCTCTCAGCTTGACGTCGGGAGGGCTCTCCAGTGGCGGATGTGCGGGGGCAGCAGGGGGCAGAGGAGATGTCATAGGGCCCCTCCAGTGACTCCCGATGCCTGCTCAGCATGCCTGCTGTGGACCCAGCCGCGGCTGACACTCCAGGGCCCTCTGAGCTGGCTCTGGTCCGTGTCACATTCCCCGGGAGGTCCCCATCATGTCCCAGCACAAAGAACTCCACCAGATCCTCGATTTTTTGTTGTTAAACAAAGAACCTCCGCTGGTGTTCCCCACGGAGTCCCCCTTCTGGAAGGACTTAACTTTCTATAGCCTTAAATGCTCCAGGTGCCTAGTTTATGGTCTTTTTGTTTCAGTCGCTCCCTTTCCTCTAACACAGTCATGCTGGGCTTTTTATCGTCACCATCAGGCGTGTTCAGTTTGATGATGATGTAGAAAGACTTGTGAATTTTATGATGTTTTATGATGACAATTAAGTTTTCTCCACATCTTTCTTCTTTACCATTGGTTTCCTAGCATTTTAAAGAGTCTTGGATACTATTGTCATGCACAAAAGGTTGCACAGAAGGATTCACTACTGGGCATCAGAGGCCAAGATGCTGAGTCTGCTGTAGCTCCTGTGCGGCGCTTCCCCAAACAGCCGCCCCTGTGTGCAGTTCTTTAAGGCCCCGTCAAGCCGTACTAGACAAAGTTACTGACCTAAAATGCTTGAAGGGCGGAGACTTTGGAAGGGCAGGAATAACATCATTCCTTATTTTTCTGCATTCTTCCAAAAAAAAAGAGTTTAAGTTGAGGTAGGTAATTTATTGTATGGCAGGACAATAACTTTATTAGCAGTTATTTAAAAATAGCTCTGGGTAGATATATCAAAACCGCAAGTACACAGGAAGATGATGCGTTGTGTGTGTACTATGGTAATTGCTGGCATATGGTAAATGCTGGCATGTAGGTGGTAATTGCTGGTATATAGGTGGAAGGAGGAGCGCCGTGGGCAGTGGCAGAGGGAGTAGGGGCCACAGGAAATCCAGACCAGAACAGTGATCACGAACAGGAGGTGAAAATACGCCTATCAGCGTTCTCGGAAGAATCCGGAGCGGGCGAGGTCGGCCCCGCTGGCGCCGTAGCGCTTCCTCTTCAGCAAGACGCCTGGCACAGGGGCCGGAGCACATGGCGGTCACTGTTGCCACTCTGAGGAGCACACAAGGTGCCCTCTGGAGGTGCCCCGGGACCCTGTCAACTGGGCCCTTGGTCTGGTTACTTTTCAGCTGAGTTGTTAGTTTTTGAAAAACACGTAGCTTTGCTGGAATCAATGTGTTATTGTTTATTCAACTGTTTATTTTAAGCCCCTGTGAATAGGGGCTTAAAAAAAGAGAAACCTTGGTGTTACCAAATAGTGATTTCCTGGGAGTCTGAAAACTCTGTTAGGAGTTCCTCGGACATCAGGACGGGGGAGGTTCTCGGCGGGCTTGGACACGAGGGCCCAACTGGGGGCCTGGGGCCAGGAACTGCATCCGGGCCCCGCTGCAGGGACAGGGCTCTGTGGAGTTAGCGAGTCTGGTCACCTCTCAAGCAGGGCAGGTTCGGTGAGCCTGGCTGCTTCTATGTGGGTGTCTTTTCTGTAGAATTGCAGTGAGCAGACAACCTTACCATCTGGCCACTAGTTGCCATGGCTGTTGGGAAAGACTTCTGCATTTTTATGAACAACCACTGTCAATTTTCTTTCCCTGCAATCAGCATTGCAAAATATGAAAAATTTGCAGTGTGTTTCATAAAACATGAAAATCAGACAGCTTTCAGTTTAAAAATTTTTAATATGGCCCCTAATGCTGAAAG